AGACAGCTGTATATAGCCCAGGCTGGCCTCCATCTTACCTCCTCTCTTTACCTGTTTGAAATGGTCTCTCTAGACTAGCCTCGAACTTGTAGTGATCCTCAGCTGCCCAAGTCCTGGCTTTACAAGTATGTGCCACCATGCCAGACCTGGCTTATTAACACTCTAAGGTCTTTTACATAGAGTCTGGTAGTGTTGAGTCTCCTCTCACTCAGTTCCACAAAATGTCCAGGAGCACAGTGGCTTCTTACCCCATGAACCTACCTTCATCCTTCTACTACTGACCCCTTGGATCAGAAGTCTGCATTTTGTTCCTGGTAGTGACCCATCTCTTCTCTGCCCAGTGGCATTGAAATGACCCCTGGTCTCCAGTACCCTCAAGCAACTCCCCAGCTCACAGGGCTCTGCAGCATTTTTCCTTATCTGAGTTTATCAAGGGGGTATCCCAACAAGATTTCAACAGTAAAGAAAAGCAAAGGAAACAGGCCCGAGCATACTCTGAGGGGTCTGCTGGCCCTGATCTACAGGATGCAGAGCTCCAGGCCACAGCCCTTTCTCTTCCTGTCTTTCTAGGGTCTCCTCTGTGCTTCCTCCTGCCCTTCTTTGATCATTTTTTTCTCCTCTCTGGATTCAGGATATTTTTCCACAAAGACTCATTGGGGCTTCCCCAGGGCTTTGAGTCTCAGGCAGTTGTTAGAGGGAAACTTTTGGTTTGTGAGGACAGGAGAGGGTTGTCAACAAGCTGGCTCTGTGATGGAGGAAACCCTGGGTTTACAGAGAAACCAGATCATGGCTATCATCAGCCTCGTTGTAAATGTGTTGGTCTTATTCCTGCCCCTCTGGGAAGTACACATTTGGCCTGTGTTATGCAAGGCCAAGACTGGCCACAAGGTGGCAGCACAGGCAAAACCCAGGTAGTGCAGAGCAGAGTCCTAGGAAGAGGAAGACCCCCTGGCTGCAGGACAGCTTGACTTAGACAGAGCTGTCTGCATCAGCAGGTTGAGCTGGAACACCAAGACCTTGACTGTGGGACCCCTCGTCCCACAGTTGCTCCATCCCTGAGCCAGGCCTGGACAGGAGCCAGAAGACCCCTGTCTTCATCCTTCAGAGTACATGGAGATCCCATGGGTCATGGGGGGGGGGTCCCAGAGTGGCTCATAGAACCCCCAATGGGATGGACAAGCAGACAGACATAGCTTGAAGAGCAACCTGTATCGGGGCAGGTAGCACCCCTGTCCCTGAGAGCGTGGGAGGAAATCCGAGGGGATATGTGGCCGGGATAAGAGCTGTACTCAATGTGGACTCTGGAGGAACCCTGGAGCATGGGGCCAACTGCAGGAAGGGGGAGATTGAAGCAAGCCCCAGGAGGGTCAGGTGGTGGGGATTCTAAAACACTGCAGAGGACTCAGGACCCTGGAGCAGCCAGCTTAGCCCTGGAGTCAGTGTGTAGGTGGAGAGGCAGCCAGGGCATTGGGAGAGTTTGGGCCACATTTTCCTGGAGCCAAAGAGACTGCAGGGAGAGGCTCAGAATGGGGGAGATGGGAGATGGGCTGCAGAAAGCCTGGCACACAAAGAAGAGTCTTTAATTGTTTGTGGAATTGAACACAATACAGGAAACATGACTTTGACTCCATGTGGGGTGATCGTGGCTGGTTTGGGGGCAGCTGGGAGACATGGAGTACAGGGAGGATAGACCCTCCCCAGGACTCCACTTTCTAGAGAGTACAGAGGAAGGAGGGGTGACCTGTGAGGATCCTGCTGAGCCTCTTTTCCACCCTTGACCTGCTCATGCCCTGGACCATATAACCCCCCATCCCACATTTACCTCTCACTTGTATGGGGCCATATCTCCCAGCCTCAGTTTCCCTTTCTGACCTGAGCAGGGTAGGACCAACTGTCCTCTGAGGAACCTTCCAGTGTGACCATGCAGATTGAAAGTGTGTCCTACACTGTGGGAACAGACCACACTGACCCAGACTGAGGGAGAAGGACTTTAATCAGGGCTCTTGTGCCTGTGGCTTCAGTTCATAAGAGACAGGGTCTCCCTCACTGTGGTGTCTCTTGTGTTCTTGAGGCCTCAACTGGTCCAGGCAGCTTGGGACTGGGGTCATGGACACCAATATTGGAATCTCCAAATGGTCCAGGGAGAAAATCACGATTGCTGGGTGACAGTTACTCTTTTCGGCTTTCCAGGTACCTGATGGCCCTCTTCACATGCTTGCTATTCGGGTCCAAACAGATGGACCTACCCTGGATGGTCACAAACCTACACAGGGGAAGCCATTTGATGTGAGAGTAGTTAGGCCTCCCAGAGCCCCACAGCCAGTCCCACCTCCATTGACCCAAACCCTGAGGTCCTAGGACAATGAAGTCACATGAATCAGTGATTTCCTGATTCCCAGGGCTCTGTCTCTGTTCCAGTTGCCCACTGACTAGGGCTGCAGGACTTTGTGCTCAGCTCCCAGACTAGGCTGTCAAGTAGAGGTGATACAAGGAGCCTTGAGCTAAGAGCTTCTCTACTCAGGTTCAGGGCAGGGGAGGTGACCTCATCACTGCTAGCTCTGTGACTTAGATGTCCTGTCCCTTGAAGGGCTTTGGTTTCACCATGAATCAGTGAAACGGTTGGACCTCCCAACAGTTTTGGGGGTATAAGAGCTGCTGGGTGCCTGGTTGCTGGCCCAGGAAAAGAAGGCTGTGCTTTCCTTCCCTCTTTCCCAGTATCCCTCCTGGGCACTCCAAAGTCCACCTGCTCCCTATTCTGGGTCCCAGACATAGGGTGCGGCAGAGGGGGGACTCACACAATGGCATTCCTGCGGCACTCTGCTGAGGTCCTGTACCATGTCACCAGCTTCCTGATAGGAACAGCTCCTTTGAAGTAATCCAGGCAGCACTCCTGGCCCACATTGGTGCCTCGAGCTAGAAAAGTAATCAGAAGCAGGTATCCCAAGGATCTACACGTACCTGGGGCCCGTGGAGAGTCCCCATGTGTGTCTATGTGTCTGAGGATAGTAGTTGCATGCATGTCCTGTGTCTCTCTGTGTTTGTGACTGTGTTTCTGTGTGGTCCCAGGTGGGTCTGTGCATGTGTATGTATTAACCTGTATGTGTACGGAATCTGGATGTGTGGGCTCCTTGTATCTGCATGTTTGCACATCTCTGTGTGTCTGCGTGTGCAGCTCAGTCTATATCCAGCAACCTTATTTCAACTTCCCTTTCCAAACTAAATATAAAAATCTTTCACCCGTTCTTGGAATCGATACTCTTGTTTGTTTGCTGGTTCCCTGATGATGCACGAAGCCCATTAATGAAACAAATGCTAACAAGTAATTCAGAGCATTGTTCATTCTGTACCATAAAGCCCATAATCAAGGCCACAGGATGAGATGTGCTGCCCATGGCTCCTCCAGGCAGGTGAATGGGGACAGGTGCCTAACATCATATCTAGTCACCGTTACTCTTCTGTTTTTGTCATGGCACTTTTGCTGCCAGCCCTTGTGACCTTTGTAAGAATGGACAGGATATGTCACACCGTGTGCTGCTGCTGTATTCTATATGGTTGATGGACCCTTTCCCTGCTCTGTCCCGCCTGTGCCCAGCTCTCACCAGTGCTGGCAAGCTGCAAAGAAGCCCCCAGAAGCAGGGCAGCCAGGAGCAGCATCTGAAGAGATGTCATGGTGCCAGAAACCTGGGAGAAGGTCTTCATGGGTCCCTCTGCTAGTCATGATGCCTGGTGAGGAGGTGACTATTTAACCTCTTCGGAGGTCGTTCCCCACCTCCAGTCTCCTCCTCCAATCCTTTGAGACTATGGTAATTCAAAGAATTCAAAATAATTCAGTAGAAGTCCAGTCTGAGAATGTTTGTGGCTTTCCAGAGAACGGGCAGTGGACTGAAGACAGAGGTGGGTTCTGCATGTTCAGTGGCATGACAGTGACACTTCTCCTTTCAAGAACATTTCTTGGTTCCTCTGTTAGATGCTAGTGAACTTATTTCATGTCTGGTGTCTTATGGAGACAGACTGGACAGCCTGTGGCTCCTCACAGACTGTGTCAGGGTTCTGTAGCCCAGGAGCCCCACAGGAGGGTGAGCAGGGCATGGTACTGCTCTGCAGGGAAGGCCTGGCTCCATCCCACTCTGAGCGAGGCCACAGGCTCATTGTCCTTCCCTAGCTGATCCAGACCTGAGAAGGCTAAGCCTGACATGACTTTAATTACTATTTATTCTCATGTGTGCTTTGGTGGCTTGGAAAGCCTAGTTTCTTGAACTAAGGTACCTTGCCTCCATTGATGAGCAGAACGGAGAGACTGAGAGATGTAGATAGTTAACCTATAGCAAAGCTGCATCTGGTAGGCTGCCCTGGATGCCTGGTTGAGGGCTTGTCAGTGCCAGGCACTAAGCACACTTGCTGGAAACCCATGTGATACTTTGTGCACAGCCTGAGGCTGTTATGTCAGTGGGACACCCAGAAAAGAATTTCAGGACAAGTCACTAGGAAGCAAAGTCAGAGTTTATTAAGAAAAAGAGCCAGACTTGGTGGCTTAAGGTCTAGCATTCCAGATACTTGGAGGCAGTGACAGGGAGATTACAAGTTCAAGGCCAGCCTGAGCTAAAGAGTTAAGGGTAACTTAGTGAAACCCTATCACAAAAGAAAAAGTAAAAAGGGCTGGGGATATAGCTCAGTGATAGAATGCTTGCCTAGCATGTGGGTTCAATCTCTAATACCCAGAGGGAACAAAGAAACAAACAAGCAGACCAAAATAGTAGGGGCCAAGTGTTGGGTGGAGGCCTCTCAAAAGAGAGACAAGTCCAACTCTTTTGACAAGAGCTACCTACATGATTTTGTGGCTTTTGAGGTTATGTTACTCAAAAAATGCAATTTATGCTAGACATGGTGGTGCACGCCTTTGATCCCACCACTCAGGAGGCAGAGGCAGGTGGATCTCTGTGAGTTCAAGGCCAGCCTGGTCTACATAATGAGTTCCAGGACAGCTGGGGCTACAGGGAGACCCTGTCTCAAAAAGACCAAAAAAAGAAAAATGCAATTTACAATCAGGTGCAAAGATTGAGAAAGTTTAAAAATTAAAGCTTGAGCCGGGTGTGGTGGTGCACGCCTGTAGTCCCAGCACTTGGGAGACAGAGGCAGGTGGATCTCTGTGAGTTCAAGGTCAGCCTGGTCTACATAATGAGTTCTAGTTAAAGGGAGACCCTGTCTCAAAAAGACCAAATAAATAATAAATAAATAAATAAATAAATAAATAAATAAATAAATAAATAAATAAAAATTAAACCTTAAACATGAAGTAGAAAATAAAATAGGACCTGGTTTACTTATTTTTCTTATCTAAAGGAATTTCCTTTTGTAGATGAAATTGCAAGGTGGTTTGGGAAGTGCACTGTTCCAGTTTAGGGAAGAGAGGATGTGCTTCTTGGTCTTTGGCATGGTCCATCTGCTGTTTGAACACTTTTGTCTACCTCCAGAAAAACACGTAAGGTCTGTAATCTGCCTTTACCACAGGTCTCTCTCTCCTTCCTTCCTCCTTCCTTCCTTCCTTCCTTCCCTCCCTTCGTTCCTTCCTCCTTCCCCCTCCTTTCTCTTCTTGAGACAGTTTCATGTAGCCCAAGCTGGCCTCAAAGGAAAAGGAAAATCACTCTGTAGTTGAGGCTGACCTTGAATTTCTGATCCTCATGCTTTTCCCTTCTGAGTGTCAGGATTAAAGTCAGGTGCCACAACATTCTGTTTTATGCTGTGCTGGGGATGAACCCAAGGCCTCATGCATGTTAGGCATGCACTCTACCAATGCCACATCCCCAGCTCTACGCAGCAGTTTTGAATTTTCAGTTGTGGTGGAACTCTCGGCTCTCAGCCAGTGAGAAACACAAACCAAAGGTGAGGGGCTCCTTTCTCTTCCGATGTCCTCCTATTTTTTTTTTTTTCTATCCTGCCTCAGGGCCATGCCATCATTGCATTCAGTCAGTCCTCCTGACCACAAGGTCCTTTCTAGGCCAGAGCCTGGCATCCTTAAACAGGAGGGTCCGTGCCTGCTTCTAGGTATACAGCACCCTGGCAGGGTAGATGGAGGCTTAGAGGTGCCTGGACTTTTCTGGCCCATGAGTTCTGAGTCTGGCTTCTCCTTGTCCCTATGTGACCAGGGACATCTCACTATGACACCCTACCCCGATCCCTGCCAGACCCATGATGTCAAGTCTGGCCCTGTTTTAATCAGTGAACTGTCATTAAATTTTCATTAAAAGTGGTAAGAACAGCCACTGTTTGTTGAAACTCACAGGAACAGCACTCAGAGTGTAACCTTATCAGTCCCCAGGATACGCCTGTGAGAGGGGCACATCAGGAGTAGGAAGGCCAGACATTCCTCCTCTACAGGGAGGCTGTGCCTCTTCAGTTCCTGAGGCCTGGGCTTTCCCCTACTTTGGTCAAACTTCCTTGTGGGCAGGATTCTCTGCATCTGCTTTGCTGTGTGACCTAAAGTATTACTGGGCCTCAATTTTATCACTTGTACAGAGAGATCTAAACAGTTTCCTGGAGCCCACTCTAGGAAAGATGGGGTCTTCCTTTGGTGGGCCTCATACCAGCATTTATCAACTCCCCTTGGAGTCCCATCAGCCAATAGAGAAGTGAACTCTCCCCACAGCCACAGCTGGCTAGGATCTTTGCTTTCAGCCTGTCTGGCTGGGCTCTTGTCCTTGGGAGAGGGTGGTCTGCCCATATCTGTATGCCTTTACAGCAGAATGCCTAGCTGTGCCCCCATCCTGCTGAGTAAGGAAAGGCCAGACTGGACTGGAGAGGAGCCCAGGGGGACAGAGGCAGAGACCTGGAGACAGACTCGGGCTTGAGGAAGAGGGGGAAGGAGCTAAATGCTGATCTGCCCTCACGGGCGGGTATCTCTTGACTTCTCTGTCCCAGTGCCCTCTGCCCAGTGGCTCCTGCTTGGCCTCTTGTGGATGTTCCACCTGCCACAGAGGCCAGCATGTGCTGCTCTGTGTTAGACCACAGTAAGGGACGATTATACTGCAGTCTGCAACTCCATTGATGGGGACTGAGCCCAGACACTACCTTGGAAACTCCCCACGTGGGTTTCAGAACCTCTGTTCTGCTGTACTTAGAACTTTTCTCTAGAAGACCCAAATTCCCCTGTCCTTCTAGGGAACCAGACATCAGCTGAAGCAGAAGGTTTTAAGCAGCCACCTGCCCTGCCATAGGGGTCCAGAGCCTTAGAACCAGGTGCTGGGGTGTGCCCTCAGGACAGGTCCAGCCCATTTCCGCCCCTGCCCTTGGGGAGGTTCACCAGGAGTGGGAGACTGCAGGTAAGATACTGCATGGCTGTCTGGAGTAGGAGGAAGCACACATGGCCTTGCAAGTGGAATTTCTACTCAGGCAGGAAAGGCTATTCATACCCAGGCATGGGATAGGCAGAGGTACAGAGGAGGGTGTATGCAGAGAACTATGGGGGACCAGTATGGGACCCTGATGGAAACGGCCCCTGCCTGCAAGCACAGGGCCCTGACAGCTTGACTTGCACAGCAGGCTTTCTTGACCCTCAATGGTGAGTGCAGATAAGGAAGGAGAGGTGACTGCAGGGCCAGGGCTGCCATTCAGCCCTGCTGGGGAAGCAGTGACTGCTCATGCAGGGGCATTGGTGAGGGGTTTTCCTCACCAGGGATTAACCTCACCATTCCTGCTCCATCTTCTCAGCAATAAGTGGATTCTTGAGACCTTCTAGATGGAATGTCCTAGAGCTTGGGCCTGGGAGAAGAGCCTCAAGAGATCTCTGAGACATGGAGGGCTGGTGGGCCAACGAGGAAGGCTGCTTGGAGGAGGTGGTGGCAGCAAGGTTGGAATTTGTGGAAGACAGCAGAAAGCCGATGCTCTGGCTGGAGGGAATGAGGGAAGGCAAAATAGAGAAGGTTTATCAGGAGCAGAGTGAAAGAGATGGAGTTGAGTGGGAGGAAGAGGATTAAAGCAAGCCAGAATCACAGCCTATGCACCTGCTCCCCCGCCACAGCCCTTGAACTGCTGCCTCAGGGGAGTCCTTGGGGCAAAACCAGCTAGAGGGACCAGGACCCCTTTCTACTTTGGCCAGAGGGAGCTAGACCAGTAGGATTCTGAATCCTTCACCCTGAAAGGTAAAGGTGGCCCCTGTGCCTACCCCTGGCTCCATCCAGACTTGAAGAAAGCTTGTCCCTGAGGAATGGAGACAGAACCAGGGATGCTGCAGGTCCTGAGCAGGTAACTGAGCTGGAAGCCCTTTATCACTTTTGATGGTTCTGAGTGGTTGACATACAACAAAAATAGAAGGCAGGGAGACCTCAGCAGACTGCCTGGGAGCACTTGGATTCAGCCTCCAAATGGTAGTGAGCTTCCCCAAAGCCTCCCCTCAGCATACTTCCCAAATTGTGCT